ATTCATCTGAGTTAAGAGATTTTGAGTTAAACGGCATTTGCGTTCTGACGATGAGACCAGTCGAATTTCACAAATTAAATTCAATCTTCACGCTGCCACTTCTTTCTTTTAAATATAAGCGAACATAATGTAAACTTCCGGTGTCCATGGAGACTTGGTTTCAGCTTTGAGATGTTGTCACTGGAAACTGTCATGCAAATGAGATTAAGGGCTAGAAGTCAAGTCAGATTGAAAGTCAGACTTTTTAGCGTTATTTCATAAGTCGTTTGTCGTCGCTAGACATGCGATTAAACGGTGCCAATCACTAACGCGTTTTCTGAAGCGACATTTCTCTCCATAGGCTCCCGCTGATGTCGACGAAAGCGGATATACGTACGAATAAGCTAAACAAGTCAAAGAGTTCGCACAAGTTAATTAAATGGACGAGCCGACAACAGGGCATGTCATGTCTGATATGCAGATCTAAATTAAACCTTGTAAATTACTGTGTGAGGAAAAGAGTGCACTCAAAACAGGCGAGGTTGCGTGAGGGTGACTGAAAGAAGATGCCTGCATGGAGACCAAGCGGTTCGAATCATACTTGTGCAAAACTGCCCACAATATGATAAATGATAATTCATTCATGTCGTCTAGTTGCATTCACGCATAGACAATCTGGATTCCGGATGAAATTCAAATCCTCAACGTGTGACTAACACTCTTCAAGAGCGACAAACAAACATATCACTTGACGACTCGTGGAGTTTCCATGCTGACGGCACAATGCCGGCAAAAGGAGAATTAATTTCTCGCAATGTAGGTTGTCTGGAGACAGCAGAAATTACGGAGGGAGTGTTCTGAATATAAGACGTTTGAAAGTGGTGAGAGCATTGCAGATATGTTTATATTGTCGTGACCCAGTCGCCATTTGCATGCCCAATGCAAGAGCTCAATCAGCTGTGAGGTGTGAGGGACCATTGAGGTGTGAGGGACTGTTGCCTCCGAATAAAGGTCCGAGACAAAGAGCAAGCCAAACATTATATCGGAAACACTAT